TAACTTTTGAAAATGTTCCGGAAGGTCTGACACTTTTATATATATCTTAAATTGAAGCTTATGTAATATACTTTAATTTAAAAAAAAAAAATTTGACCTCTGGACTTGTCTTCGTGGTGAAAGTTGACATCAAAATTAATAAAAAATTACGATTTTTGTAAAATAATTTTTTTTTATATTTTTAACTTAATAATGCTCTAACTTTTTCAAAAATGAACGTATCAATATAATTCTTTTTTATATAGATGGTTGATGTCTTTACTGATCATTTGGTATATTTTTTTTGTAAATCTGACACTTAACCAGCCCACAGGGTGGGGTTTTAAAATGACAACTTTTTCACAAAAAATTTTCTTTTTGAACATAACTTTTGAAAATGTTCCGGAAGGTCTGACACTTTTATATATATCCTAAATTAAAGCTCATGTAATATACTTTAATTTGAAAAAAAAAAATTTGACCTCTGGACTTTTCTTCACGGCGAAAATGGCTACCGAATGCTTTTTTCGTGTGAAAATTCTCGATTTTTTTATTTATAAAATATTAAACTTTATAATGCTACAACTTATTGAAAAGTTTATGGATTCACACAATTTTTTATGAGAAATTATATTTTTTTATAAACCCTGTTTCATTTGACATACTTTATCTTAATCGAGATATTAAGGAACCATCAGATCAAGTAGCTTTTGGAATAAAACACCAATTTTTTTAAAATTAAACAGTATCTAAAGATTTGCATCGAAGCGTTTATTTTTGATAGTGATTTTAATCACTGTCAGATATCATTATACTTGATCCAACTATACCACGTCACAACTGTGCCGCGACCCCCCTGTGCTGGGTTTTTATTATTAATATTACAATACATTTAATTATTATGATACGAGTATATATAATTATTCTGAATCTGTTGAACATTGATTTTTCTCCCAACAATCTTTGCATACTGTTTAATATACGCGATATATTTATAACATGTTTTGTTCTTATTGTTCCATATCATGGAGTAGTGGAAATTCCTAATAAATTATTTATTTTTAAAACTTAATTGCATAGTCGGTGGTAGATCCTCATAATTCCAATTCCACAATATTATATCGATTATAATATTGCATTTACAATAAAATGATATTTTGAAAATAAATTAAGTCCAAAAAAAAATTATAACGTTACAAGTCGCGTGGGGGTAAATATGACCCATTTCAATTTTGATGAACATTTTAAGTCATAATTTTTCGAATGTATTTATTTATGAAAATTTATTCAATATTATTATAAAAACCATCTTTTAAATTTATATCTATGTACACCTTTTATGCAATATAATACAACCGTTTTTATTTATGTGGGGGTATGCTAGACCCCCACGCGACTATTTAAGGGTTAATTATTATTATCGATAGCTAGTTAAATATTCACGATGTGACTATTTACTAGTGCAATATTATATCTTGTACACCCAGAGAAAAACCTCGATGTATATAACAAATTCATTGTTCAATTTGATAAATATATCATTACTATTGAATCTATGATATATTTATCAATATGATAATTTTTTTTATTGTCTTGAACAATAATTATTTATAAGAATAGTTTTTTTGTTAAACATTATCATAAACCCTTGATAAAATTTCTCTATCAAAATTGATTGAGGTTTTTCTTTGGGTGTATTATGCGTACATGTATTGTAAATTTATAATATATACGTTAAATTAAAACTCAGATTTTGGCCGAATTATATTATCTTAAATAAAATTCAAAACTTTAATTCACGTATAAATTTATGAAAATATGTTTCCATAACAATGTTTTGCCAAAAAATATTCGCTCAGTCATATTAACGTACATAAGAATTTATATTATATAAACTAATAACAATTTTTTTAAATATTAATATCAGTTGAACTGTAAGAAAATATTTTATATGTTTATTTATCATCAATCATAGTTCATTACAATTAAGTGAAGTTATTTCATTTATTTTTACACTTTGTTTTCAGATTAATAATAGTAGAAAATGTTAAAATTAGCATATTTTTCATTTTTGTAAGTATAGTATATTCGGTGCATTTAATTTTATTAATTAACATTTAGTACTTGAATTGAGCGGGAACGCATAAGGATGGAGCTTCTCTTCTAAAATGAAAAAAATTCGTTAATTAAAAAAATACTTAGTATATGAAATGACAAATGATGTCTTTTAGATATTATATAATTGTTTAAATTATTATGAATAGTGTAAACAGTCTGTACAAGTTGAAATGTGTATGCTTCTGTATTTGTATTGATAAAGTTTTTTACTTATTTATTGTTGATTTGTTTATATTAAAAATTCACATGTTCCTCGTAAATTAAGGAAATTGTCCAAAAAATTACAATTTTTATTGTTAAATTTCGACATTTTTTAATTTAATATAATATACTAGATCAAAAATTCTTACTTTGGACATTCTTTTATTCTTTTAATTCAATAAAAAACCTAAATACAGGAATGGAATGAAAATAAAACCACCCATGTATGTTTAAATTATTATTTTCCTATACAATATTTGGAAATATCCTGAAACGATTCCATACATTAAACCTATACAAAATTAAAGATTTTAAAATATACTTTAAGATTAAAAAAAAACCAGCACAGTGGTGACGTGGCATAGTTGGATCAAGTATAATGATATCTGACAGTGATTAAAATCACTATAAAAAAAAAACGCTTCGATGCAAATCTTTAGATAGTGTTTAATTTTAAAAAATTGGTGGATTATTCCAAAAGCTTCATAAACTGCTAGTTCCTTATTAATATCCTGATTAAGATAAAGTATGTCGAATGAAAAAGGGAGTATTTAAGGGAGTATATAAATTATATGCCAATACTATCTGTGAGGTCTCTAATTGTCATTAGTCGATTTTCAAGCACCAAATCTTTGATTTCTTGGAAGTAGCCTTCATCGGTAAATGTTGATGTTCGTCCAGAGCGCGGTATGTCTTTAATGCGTTCTCGGCCCGCTTTGAACTCGTTGTATCACTTATAAATGTTTTTTTGTGCCATAGTTTGATTACCAAAGGGCATCCGCAACATTTTGAACGTGTCTACACAAGAATGTACGTTTCGCAAACAAAATTTGATGCAAGGTGTTTGCTCAACAAAAACACCCATTTTAAAAATCGTAAAATTCACTTTTGGATGTTTAAAAAAACGCGTATAACTTGGAGGTTATTAAAACTATTAAAAAACAGACAATTGGAACATGTCAATAAGGATGTCCTACCTACCTAAGAAAAAAATTTAACTGCCTTCATAATGCCTGGGAGTTTTAAATGATAATATCACCTTACTTTTTGATCACAGTAGTAAAATTAATACCTTCTCACCTTCACCTTGTACCTAATCAGTCTTTGACTGATTTAACTTCTGTTTTTGTTCCTCAAGATATTCGAGATATATTTTTGCGTATATGTTTCTGAATTCTAAGAAAAAATAAATAAAACTATTATTAATTTATTAAAAGTAACTAGATGTCAGTTTTTTTTATATAATTGGAAGAATTTAACTTGATAAAATAATTTTTTATCAATTATAATTTTTCGATTATCCCTATAATTTAAAACAATTATAGATAATAATAAATATAAGCGTATATATTGGCTATTCTTATTTTTTTGAAACACATTTTTAAAATATTTTAGCCACGTGTCTTTGTTTTTCTGGTTAACGAATCAAAAGTTATTTTACTCATATATCATATATTTCAGATGGAATTTTTTATTTTAAAAGTTACTTAAATAAAAATAATACGTATAATTTTATTTAGTAAAAATTAATTTTATATCAAGTGAAATTAGAAATCCTTATTACAAATTAAGGAGTAATAAGATCAACTCGTAAAAATGATATTTAATAACATTTGATGGCAGATGGGAATCTATTGCAAATGGTTCCATTTGGTTGGCTATTAATAAATTCATTAAATTAAGATTCGCTATCCTGACGTCAGATTAACAATCAACCTTGAGTTTATGAAAACATTTTGAAATATATCAATTTGGCCTTAGATGGGTTGTATAAAGTCTAAAAGTTGTGACGTTCACCGATAACTAAATGTGAGGTTATCACCGATGAAGCACATAAACCCAAACGAAGTTGGATTCACCACTAGCCGAGGCTCTACCAGACCGGAGCATAGTGGAATTTTAAATATAACTGACACATTTGTTGTTTAATTTACTAAGTTTTTACCTTAACTCTAGGGGAAAAGGAATTAAAAACTGGTAGACAAGTAGTATAGGCGATGATGTTCTATTTTATATACTGTGTTTAACTAAAATAATAATGCCCAAAGTACAATAAAATAAATGTCAGTTACAAATGTTCAACATATAATAAAATTACAAATTCTTTTATACAACATATTTCAAGTCATAGTTAAAATTATTACAAATTATTAAATGAGCTAAAGGACAAATAAAATAAAAGGGACATGAGGGAGAAAATAATCTCTGACACTGCTGTATTGACTATGTTCGATTTGACCAAGGGACAGGATCGTACTTTCCAATATTGAATAAAATAAAATGGTTATCATTGCAATAATGCTCAAACTAAGAACATGACATCGGTCAATATGGTTCTAGGCCTTTTATACCGAGCCTTGAGACTGCTAAGCACGTCTAGATTGGTCCAACATGAGGTTTTATTACACTCAACATAATAAAATTAATGATAGAATGGACGAAAATGATATTTTATCATAATTTACCAATAGTCAATGAACAAATATGCCAAGAGATCAGATAGAATAATCATATTAAAATATTTACATTATATTAATGTCATTTTTAAAGAAAACCTCGTGACAATGCACGAATAGAGGAAACAATAAAATGGACAAAAATAAAGAAAAACGGGAATGCTGTACAAAGTTACCAAATTATATTATCATGATGACCAGGCCGTAGCCAACAAATGAATCTTCATCCATGGCTCGATCGCCAGGGCCAAAAGTAAAGTTAGGCAGCCATGATATGTTCAAATATGCGCAACATAAAACTAAGTAAAAAGGCTGGAGACAGAATAAACGACCGGCCAAAAAACATTTGAACAAAACGGCCAGACCACTTGACGGCGACGACACACATGGACCGGAAGGGGAAACAAACGCCGACATCAGTGCATGCCTCGTTGACAGACATCTGGGACCGGTTGAATAATTGACAGTACTGTAGTGGTCAGCTGGGCGTTTGTTATCACAATGCTAATTTGTTATGAACGATTGTACAACAGATAAAATAGAAAAAAGGGAATGTGCGACTGCATTATTTAGGAAAATTGAATAATGTTATTACTGAATTATACTGTTCAAAATTAGTTTTTATTCACCACGAAATTAATACTATCTAGACAATAACACCGCATTACCAATTGCCGAGCAGTTACACTTAATTATATGATGTTCACAATAACTAATTTAATTTACTAATGTGTTAAATAGTACTATTAATGATAGGTCAATNATGTGTTAAATAGTACTATTCATGATAGGTCAACTTTTTACGTCACAAAGTCTAAAAAATGTTATGTATTATTTATATTACCTTTACAGCTGATATCTTCTGCGTTTGCCATTTCAATTTTTATTAATTCAGTAGCTCTTTCATCCGTGATATTTAAGTCAGCATCTGTTATTGCATTTATTAATTGATTTTTAGTCATCTTAGTTAGGTGGAGATATTGTGTATAATATTGTTGTATACGAAGCTCAATTCGTCTTACAACACGTGCCACTTGTATTAAAAATTGATCCTTGTCCATTAATTTGTCTACTTTTGAAGTAAAAATAATGTGTTATTAATTAATTTTTATTTAAAAGTAGGGTGGTAATATCAATAATTTTATTAGTAATAATCACTGACCGACATTTAAATATCACTTAATAAAATTAATTTATTATAATATTATAAATAATAATATATACCGGAAATAGTTTTTTTTATTACTTGAAAATCTAATAATACTTTCTAAGATGTTTAAATTATTGTTTTACAACAGTTTCAACCGCTAGATGTGCTAAGGTAGATTTTCGAAATGCACTTATTAAATACACATTCCAATTGAAGAATTAAAAAAATTCTTAATTGTTTCAATTCACAAAATAAACAAACAAAATTAATTGTCTTAATAATTCGGAATCATTTAAAATTTAAAAAAATAAATAAGATAAAAAGGTTAAGTTATTATTGTTTTTATTACATTATTTATAAGAGAGTTAGATAAAAAACACCAAGTGTGAAAAGATTTCTAAGTCCGAGAGATTGCAAAACAGTCTGGTGCAGAGACGTTTCATGACCCGATTTTTAGAAAACAAAATGAGGTGTGGAATGAGCTAGAAATTTCTCTTTTATAATTTGAAACTTTATATTTTTATATCTTATAAACTAATAATTTATATTAAAAATTCAAATGTCATTTAATATAAAATTAAAACCTAAAACATTTTATTATATTCAAAGTATGTGTTTCCGTTTAAAAAAACAGAGTTGACACTCTTACAAGGCATAAGGGATGGACTTAAAAAGTATCATATAGTTAATAATTTGAGAATAATATGTAACTAAATATAAAAAAATAAAAACGGTAGCACAGTGGGGTCGAGGCACAGTGTGGACAAGTATATCTGACAGTATTAAAATCACTATCATAAGAAACGCTTCGATGCAAATCTGTAGATAGTGTCTCATTTAGAAAAATTGGTGGATTATTCCAAAAGCAACTTTAACTCTTATTTCTTTGTGAATATCCTAATTAGTAGTTCTTTAATTTTAAAATATAATATATGAATAAATATTAATTATAATTATTAAATTTAGTATGAAATTGATATTCAATAATTTAATATTGTAATTTAAACGGAGAAATTATAAAAATAATAAAGAACTTGTATTTTGCTTTATTTTTACGTGTATAAAAATTTAAAGGGCTTAATACAATAATTTTCAATAAAAACTGTTTGTTACTATAAATAAATGCACTGAACTACAAGGAACTTTCATCAGTAACAAAAATATACCATTCTAAATAAACTTTTCACGATGTTTTCAAATCTGCAATTAGACATTTTCTATCACTTCTAAGTTTTAATATTATTAAAAATTAGTATTTAAATATAAAAAATTGGCTATTTAAGCTAACTCAAATTTAAAAATTACTTTTTCGACTTTAAAAAAGTAAACAAAAATTTGATAAGTTTAATTTCTTATGTCTTATGAACTTTATTCTATGTCAATTAAATTATATAATATTCATGAAAGTCAATATATTCTCCTAATAAGATATTTTAAAATAAAATAAAATACAAAACCTAGAATTTTAATAGCATATTTTTGAATACGGTAGCCATTTGCGCATAGAAGATAGGTCGTCGGGACAATTTTTTTTTTCATTTTATAGTACATAAAATAAGCTTTAATTTTATATATGTTTAAAGGACGCAGTATTTCCGGAACATTTTCAAAAGTTCAGTTGAAAAAGATCTATGTTTTTTACAATATTTCAAGTTTTGAACGCCCCCCATATATAAGGAAATTGTCCAATTTTAATAAAAAGTATGTAAAATGAAAGATGTACTTATAATGTATTTAGAAAAAAAAAAATTTGTGCTGATAATTACATTTTTCGAAATGTTATAGCATTTTTAAGTTGAAAATTTAAAATCGACAATTTTAACACAAAAATAGCGTTTTTTTGACTACGGCAGCCGTTTACATACAGAAGATAAAGTGTCGGACAAATTTTTTTTTTCATTTCGTAGTACATAAAATAAGCTTTAATTTGATATATGTTTAAAGGACGTAGTATTTCCGGAACATATTCAAAAATTAAGTTGAAAAAGTTAATTTTCGTAAAAAAGTTGCTATTTTAAATCCCCCCCTCAATGAGCAGGTTAAGTGTTAGATTTTTAAAAAAATAATATTAAATGAAAGGAAAATATTTAAGATTTTAGTATAAAAAAAATGATGTTGATTTGTTTATTTTTGAAAAAGTTATGGAAGTTTTAAGAAAAAAAGTGAAAAAAATGACAAAATTTTATCGATTTTTAAATTTGTAATTTTTTTGAATATTTCCCCCATTTTCGGGAAATCAGGTAATTTTTTTCAATTTTTAAGGGTAATGTCTCCAACTAGATACGATTTGTGATCTTTTGGCGTATTTTTGAAAGAAATCGGTCCAGTGAGAGCTGAGAAAAAGTTGTGACAGACACAAAAAAAATAAAATATATAAACACATCATGGTAAAATTAATACCTTTTCAGCTTCGCATCGAAGCTAAAAGATATGTTTGAAGTAATTGACTACTTGAAAAATGAAATGATAGAAGATTTAATCAAGAACACTTAAAAAATTTAGTTATGATGGAGAGCATATTAATAGATAAAATTACCTTAAAATCAAACTAAGAGCTTTTAAATAATTAAAAAAATGTGAGTGAAGATTTTGATATAATTAAACTCCATGCACAATTAGTTATGTTTTCATCAGTTGTACCAATTGATTCTAGTATTTTAGATAAAATATATTATTTAAAAAGTAATTATTTAAATGTTTATGAAACTTCTAAAGTTACCAAACTCATTAAATTAATATTGACTATACCAGCATCTGTAGCAACTGCTAAACGTTCTTTTTCTGTACTAAGAAGACTTAAAACTTATTTTAGATCAAACGTGTCTCAAAAAGGTTAACACATTTAATGATTTTATATGTTCATAAATCTAGAAGATTTTAAATTGATTTAGATGTCATAGCTCAAGAATTTATATCTAAGACGTCAGAGAGAAAATCAATTTTTGGGTGTATTACCCCCCAAAAAACCTAAGGCTGACTAATATCGTATTTTTTATTTTTAAGGCTAAATTTTTATGTTATTTATTTTTTGAAAGTTTAACTATTTTATGTTTTTTATTAATACGTTGTATCTTAAATGTTATTTGTTTTGTTTTAAAAGTTTTATTACTAAAATAAAATTTTAACCAAAGATTACAATTTTTTTTTTAGTATTTCATTTAGATTTTTCTAATCTTTAATTTTTAATTTAGTTAAAGTTATTATGCTAAAAAAATGTATATTGAATGTTCCATAAATTGAACTAAACAGTTTTAAAAATTAATGATTAGGTAATTTTTTTTTTATTTATTGTAATGAATAAAAAATTTTTAATTTAACTATATTTTATTATATTATTAATACATATTAAAAATTAATATGTATTATTAAGAGTAAAATTTATAAATTACTGGATTTTTTTTATGATCACTAAAATCCACCAAAAAAATTGCTTTACCTGTTTTTATAGCTTAGTAACATTCAAGGGTTCCCAGTTTTGGACATTAAATTTTTACCCCCATGTAAAATAATTAGAATTAAAGAATAAAATTTTTTCATTTAAATATCTAAATGTAGATTTATGAATTTTCTATTCTCTCATAGATATATAGAGAAAATTTAAATGTGCAAGTTTTTTCATAGTCATCTTGATTAATCACATATTTCCGGTCATTTATTTTTCTGTTAATGGCTATGTGGTTTATTAAAATAAATGTATATTTATGGATACTTAAAAATAAGTATTTCAGTGGTTTGTTAAAAATGTCAACTTAATTGAAAACAACAACATTTTCCAAAAATTAGTTATCCAAAAATTATTTTAAACTATCAGGTATTCTCCAAAAAACTTAGATTTTAATGCAAAATCTATCTAATTTATCAAAAATGACGAAATTCGAAAATTTCAGATTGAATACTGAAAGAAGATCTAGACTATTAATAAGAAAAATATAAATATCTTATATTAATATATTCGAAAATTGCAAAATTCCATATTTCATGTCCTAAATACAATAAATTAAAAAATTGTTCTATCAAGTAAATTTCATTAAATTATTAATGCTGTACAATTTATTCAAAGTTTATCACTATACAAGAATATTAAATTCAAATCTTTTAGGAATTAATAAATAAGAATTATTTTAAAGATTAAAGGCGTCCTCTTCCTATTCATGAACACATCTACAATGTCAGAAATATGCTAAAATTGTAATTATGCCATAGATGAACACAATAATTAAATTAGAAGCGAGATCTCTAGAATCGTGTTATTAGTATTTGGAAAAAGACCGACCATGATATAATTTATGTGATTTGTTTGTTTTTGTATTATTCAAAAGTTTAATTAATCAATTCTTTAATCTAAGCTTAAGAAACCATGTTATTAGTTTATGACTATACATGATACCAAAGAACTTATTATATTAAGGGTAACAAAGTGATAGAAATAAAATTTAAGGTGATATAAATATTTGTTATATTAATATAATCTACTACGGTTATTGATATAATTTTAGTTTGCTGAGTATTTTATAAATTACATTACTATTTTTGACATTTTATATTTTTATATGTAGATACCTACCTAAATTTACTTCTGTTAATATTTTTTTCTCAACTTGATTCTGTTATGGTAAAAATATTTAAAAATAAAAAAAACAATTTTGCATTTATTTCCATAATAAATTAAAAATTTGATTCGGACTATGTGATGTTTTGTATAATATTCATTTCTAGTTGACTTTTAACGAAATAACAAAAATTATAGGTAGGTTCTAATGTATTCCTTCATTGAGATATTTTTTATTTATTATATATATATATTTGCTTATTTATGTTCAATATAATTTTTAGCCTTTGTGGCCAGACAATTTGGTGATGTTCGGGAATGGTCCTCATTTTTTAGGAACTATAGTCCCCCCTTTTAGTTTATCACACTTTAACCACTGTCTCAAACCAAAATGTTGTTGTACCTAATACATTGAATGATACACACTTTAAGATATGCAAATATATTAAATTCTTATGTTATATTAGTATTTGTTGAAAATAAAATTTAACCTTATTATTATAATTAGAGTTTTACTTACTTTCGCCAACTACTTGAGTGAATAAAGATTTAATTTGATTTTCATCAAGGAGGTGTAAACGATAAAAAAAATCTAATATGTCTTTAAATGCAGTAAAATTCATACCTTCGTCAAAGTTTTTACTTATTTGAAACATATTTTCAAGTTTAGTTTTATAGCTACCAATCAAATTGTAGTTCTAAAACAAATAATTGACTTATAAGAATTTAAAATTAATAATAATATAACTTTAAATTTTTAGATAAAACAGTGATAAACACTGATAAAAATCTTTATCAACGCATCGATGCAAATTTGTATATTGTATTAATTTTTAGAAGGAATTACTGGGTTATCCCAAAAGCAAATAAACTCTTATTTCCTTAGGCGTATCCTGATAAATATTTTATGATTTATAAAATACATGAATAAATAATTATTATTTATTTATTTATTTGAATAAACGCCTGGTTTAAGTATAGGTTAACATAGTTTACATAATAAGTAATATACAAAATAATTGTGATATAAATATTTAGGGGAGGTACATAAGATCAATTATACAAAAATGTATGAATAAAAATTAATAATACTATAATATTTATAATATTTATAATATTAAATCTTAGTATGATATTGATATTCTATAATTTTATTGCAATTTTTACAGGAAATATATAAAAAAAAATTAGAAAAGAAAATATTTATAATTAACAATTAAATCTTATATTTTTAAATTTTTTTGTAAATGAGGGGGGATTAACCTCCCACAAATAGTATCTAGACAAAGATATTAGCCTCAATAATTGAAAAAAATCCCATCATTCCCGTAAATGGTAGAAATCCCCTAAAAAATTACAATTTTATACTTTTTATTCTTAAAACTGCCATAACTTTTTGAAAAATAGATAAATAGAAATAATTTTTTTTTGTATATAGATATATTAGGTATTTACCTATCATTTACCTATAATTTATATATTTTTTTGTGAATCTGACCTTTCACATGACCACATGTGAAATTCAAAATGGTAACTTTTCCAGAAAAATTAACTTTTGAAAGTGTTCCGGAAACACTGACTTTTTTGTACAAATCATAAATTAAAGCTTATGTGATATACTTTAATATAAAAAATTTTGAACTTCAGTTTTTTTGCATGTTGAAAATGGCTATCATATTCTATAATATGGTATTTTTGTGTTAAAATTCTCGGTTTTGTATTTTATTTTAAAATACCTTACAATGAGTAGTTAAGAGCATTACGAATAACCTACCAGGCATCAGACTAAATGATAGCTGCGTTGTTCCAAAAGTTATAGTCTTAGCGGATCCGCGTTTCACCGTGTCACAGAAAATTGACCTATTAATAGGAGCGGGTCACTTCTAAGATTTAATGTGTGCAGGGAAAATAAAGCCACGACCAGGCGGTCCTGTATTTTAGGAAACAAAGTTCGGATGTGGGTGGTTGCTGGTTCATCGGAGAATCAGCTCAATAGTATAAATCAACAAACGGCGGTTTTCCTCACGGTGAATGACAATTCTAACCAATCGCTAGAAAAGTTAGCTGAATGTGAATTAAGTAAGTATCCTGACGCGTGTCAATCATTAGTTAACGATTTTTATGTGGATGATTGGTTAGGCGGTGCAATGAAACGGGCAGAGGCAATAACATTATGAGACAATATTATTGCCGTAATGAAAGGTGCCGGTCTACATTTACGGAAATGGGCATCGAACTATAATAGTTTAATAAGTAGTTTATTACCTACCGAACACAATAAAGATAGTGACGGTCCGCGTATTAACGATAACGACACAACGAAAATATTAGGCCTGTGTTGGGATTCGCCATCGGATTCATTTAAAAATATACAGTAAGTGAAAACATAATAAATAATAACGAAACAAAGCGAACAATTTTATCGAATATAGCCACAATTTTTGATCCCCTTGGTTTGCTCGGCCCTGTTGTTGTGATCTGGCTTTTTGCTGCCCCATTGTAATTATGTAATTTAATAGTATATATATAATAATCATGGGAACGGAAGCCTCTATTGTCTTGTATAAAGTATTTACCAGGCAAGCATCTAGTCCTTCTAGAACATTCGATGCTTGCTCAGCCTTTTTCAATGTATTGGGCCTACAGCCGCCGCCGCCTGAGGCGACGCGCCAGTAGGAGTCAGCTACTCGTTCAAGAATTAAGAAANAGCCGCCGCCGCCTGAGGCGACGCGCCAGTAGGAGTCAGCTACTCGTTCAAGAATTAAGAAAAAATGCAAAAAATTCATTGGCATACGCGGGTTGGAACCTCGTACCCCCAGCTATTAAAACACAACTTTAACCAACTCGGCAACCATACGTCACTACCGTCTACTTAAAAAATTAGCTATTTAAGCTAAATCAAATTTCAAAGTTAATTTTCACGACTTCAAAAAACAAAAATTTAAATAAGTTTAACTTTCTATGCTATCTCAAATTTTTATTTATATAATATTTATAAAAATCTGTACTCCCCTTGACAGATATTTTAATATAAAATAAAATACAAATCCCAGAATTTTAATACAAAAATAGCATATTTTTGAATACGGTAGTCATTTTCACCATGAAGACCAGAGGTCAAATTTTTTTTTTTCAAATTAAAATATATTACATTAGATTTAATTTAAGATAAATATAAAAGTGTCAGTATTTTTGGAACATTTTCAAAAATTAAATTTAAAATGTCCTAGTAACAATAAGCATATTTAAAGTTTTCACCCCCCCTCCTTGTATATAGGGTATGATTCGATTTACAAAAAAAGCGTGACAGATGAAAGGTGTATATAAATATTTATTATAAAAAATAATAATATTGATCCATAAAAGTAGGGTAATTTAGGGGATTCTAGGCCCCCCCCGCCTCACCCCTT